TTGTCGCGTCCGGTCTCGTACCGCGTCAGGAACAAGTTCCAGCTCGGTGTCAGAGAACTCCGTTAATGACACACATTGGGGTAAGGTGACTTAATTGCCACTGGCAGCGGTGAGCCCCTCCCGCTCTCAGAGGCACAGGGACCCTGGTGCCCATTTGTCACTGGGAGCTTATTCACCCATGTTTTCCTTTTAAGTGATTTTTTTTCTAATTTAAAAGAAAGCTTAGGTAACCGTTTTTCTTAGAATCTCTGGGTTCTTTGTTATCACACCCAGCCTTACTTGTTTTTTTCATATTCTTAGAGTGTTTTGCTTTTCATAAAGTGAGGAGATAATTCTAATTATCAGGCCTGTTTTTCCAGGAATCCTCCTGTAACTGAAAAGTCTATTATTTTCTCTTGTAATCCTGTGTTTAACATGAAAGGTCTAAACAGAGCCGTGACGTGGAGCGGGAAGACGGGTGTGCGTTCACCGGAAGTCTCTTTCTTGACTAATTTTATCCGATGCTAGGAGTCAGTGTAACTGCACGGAGTCTGTGGTTCCGTGTTGTGGAAGTCAGTATTGATAGCACGGCTAATTTGAGGTGCCGGAGCTGTTCTGGCGGCCACAGCTGTGGAGGGGGCGGAGTCCGCTGTGGCCCCCGCCCTGTGCTGCTCCCTCTGGACAGAGCCGGGGCAGGGTCTGGGGTACAGCGTGTGGGCGCCACCCTGATCCTGAAATGGGACCTCAAAGCCGAAGGGGTACAAGCCCAGATCCTCCCGGAAGTCATTGAGAGCGGGCGGCGAGGGCTGGAAGGGTGGGCGGCCTGGTGTGTGGCTGGCGCAGTCTGGGCCGGGCTCGCGCTCTCCCGTGTCCTCCTGAGCATCCCTGATGGCGCCGGCTCCCTGCCGTGTGCGTCTGCGTCCTGACGCTCATCCTGTGCGGTGTGGGCGAGCTGTCCGCGTGTTTTAGCAATAAAGTTTCACCGTGTTCATTTCCTCTTTCCTCCTGTCCCATGTCTCCTTCCCGCCTTTCCTCTGTCCCTCTTTCCCTCCATCCTTCCCTTCTCTGAAAGGGATGACCAGAGTGCAGTGACAGCGGCGGGTCCCCCAGCGGCACTCTTGCACGTGCTCTCTGACTGCTCCCCGGGGGAGAGAAAGGGTGGAGCGAGAGTGCAGGGACCTGGGCTCCCTGGCTGCCGTGGGTCATGCATGGGATGTCACATGTCACAGGTGGCAGCAGGCAGGGTGAGGAGTCGCTGGCTCACATGCCGTTTGCCGCAGGTGTTCCCTGCTGTTGCCTGGTCGCTCTGGACGGGGATCTGAGAGGCCGCGTCCCGGGCAGGCGGTGTGAGCAGTGGGGTGACCAGGCGCGCTGTCCTGCCTCTTTCCCAGTCGCCTCTGAGCATGTGAGCAACAGGCCCCCACCCCTTGGTCCTGTACCTGCTGGGTCCGGTGCACTTCGTGTGTCTCCTTGCGGCCCTGCCAGGCAGCACCCTGGGCGGGTCCTTTCTGCTCTGCTTGCTGCAGAACCAGCGTTGGGGATAACTAGCTGCTTACTGGAGCCTCCCCCCGGGAAGTGCAGATAGCTAAAAAGGTGTGCAATACGGCGGGAGCTAGGCCAGCCCTTCTCCCCCAGGCGGCCAGGTTGCCCCCGCGTCCTCCAGAGGCCGGGCTGACCAGCCCCGGGTTACTGCCCAGCCTCCCTATGGGCAAGGGGACCCACAGCTGAGCCCCTTCCCTGCTCCTGGCCTCCCTGAGCAGCGGCTGGAACGGCACCGAGGCGGCTGAGAGGGGGACGGGACCCACCGTGTCCCCAGGACGCTGAGCCCTGAGGCGCACAGTCACCTCGGCCATCCTTCCGGAGGCTCCTGGAAAGCATCCCAGTTGGAGTTCAGCCTGCCTTTCCGTGGAGATGTGGCAGCTGTCAGTCAAGCATCCTCTTACCCAGGGAGTGGTCGCCATCATACCAAGGGGTCCGTGATGCCCCCGGGAAGGCTCCCGAGCAGACCTGAAGAGGGGCTCCCTGCCAGGCACCCTGTGCAGAGCACAGGTCCCCCGAGCCTTGCCCAGTGAGCTACTCTGATTCTGGGGTCACAGTCCGTTCAGAGCAGGTCACATTTTTGCAAAGCTGTGGATGCTGCAGGCTGCAAGTCCTGGAGAGGACCAGACGGAAGGCCTGATGTGGGGGTGTCGGTCCGTGGGGGCATTTGGCAGCCAGGCACTGTCTCCTACCTGGCCCCCCGCTGCTTGCAGCCAGGATCCTCCCGAGTGTCCGAGGGCTAAGGAGGACTTGTTTTGTCCCAGCTGCGTCCCCTGCTCCCTCCTCCACTCAGTACTGGGAACTGAGCTCGGACCTTCACACCAAGCTACATCCCCAGACCTCTTTATATTTTTAAATTTTGAGACAGGGTCTCCTTGAGTTGCGTAGGCTGGTCTCAAACTTTGGATCCTCCTGCCACAGCCTTCCTGAGTGCTGGGATTACAGGTGGCCACTGTACCCCACCTGGATTCTTGAAGAGTCGCCGAGATTCTCGGCCAAGGTGTGGACCCCAGCCGAGGGCTTGCCCGGCCTCTCCCCGTGGCTCACCGTCCAGACCCTTGGGGGCAGCTCCTGCCGCTCAGGTTGGCATGGGGACGTCCAGCCAGCTGTGGCAGGGTGGGCGGCAGAGGGCTGGGTGCAGAGCAGCGGCGCCCAGGGGGTCTGAGGCTGCCGCTCCCACGGAGTAAACGCCCGGGCAAGCAGCAGCCCTTGGCGGAGCCAGCGCACCCGTCTGCCCCAGGGCGTGGTGCTGAGTCGGGCTGTCACCTGTGCCTGAGCAGAGCTTGCTGAAGACCGTTGCGTGGCCGTGCGGGTGGGTGAGGGGCTTCGGTTCCTGCGGAGTGCTGATGCTTAAAAGTTAAAGTTTTGCATGGTGTTGGTGGTACTTGTCATCTGAGCCCTAAGGAGGCTGAGGCAGGAGGATCAACACTCATTTAAGACCAGCCTGGGCTACATCGTTCAAGGCCAGCCTGGAATATCTAGCTAGGTGCTGTCTCAAAATAATAAAGTTTTGGTAACTGTATAGGACTTCAAAAACTGAAATTACACATCTGACTTCATTCAAGCTCAGGAAGGTCTGATGGTTGGAGTGGAGTTCTCCACAACATGCTGGTCTCCAGGAACAGTGACGGTGGCAGTGGCCCTGCAGCCCCCTGCGAAGTGACCAGCAGTGGTCGTTCCAGCCCACGTAGAGGGCAGTGTCCAAGGCTGAGCAGCTGGCCAGCCTCATTGCAAGATCACAGACCTGTGCTTAGCCCGGGGCGGCGGGGCTCCGTGTGGGCCGCCCTGGAGTGAAGTAAAATGATGGGACATCTTCCTGGGGGTGGACTTGGGCAGCGGTGGCCCACCCTGGGGCGGCTATGGGATCTGTCTCTGATCAGGGCGTGAAGGAAAGGTGCAGGCTCATTTCAGGGTGAGCCGCGAGACTGCTGGACACGAGCAGACACCTGCTCTTCAGGGGTGCGCACAGGTGCCCTTGGGACTGAAGACCCCAGGAGTGGGTGAGGTCCCTGGAGGACAGATCTTCCCTGTGAGGAAAGTTTGGGCCTGGTTGCCTATTGGGTTTCATCGGATAGCACTTAGGGAACTAAAGCTGTGAAAGTAGCACAGCCCGAGTGTCTGGGTGGAGAGGAGCTGCTCTGTGGAGCTGCAGCGACCTTGTGCGCTGAGGTTCTGTCACGTGTGCGTGTTTTCCCCCAGGTAGGTGATGGGCGCGATTTGGGGCACAGTTGCGAATTTGGGGAGCACTGAGGGTCTCCTGCTGACAAGTCCTCTGGACAGAAGATGTGCGGGAAGCAGCAAGAGGTGGACAGGGAGCGTGGGGCACAGGCTGGGGATCCCGCTGGGCATTTGGGGCGCCCCGGTGTGGCTTTCGGGGAAACAGCCACCCTGAAGAGGGTCCCCTGGGACATCTTGGTGTCTGGGTGGTGATGGAGGCACACGCACACGGCACCATTTTACCAGAAAGCCAAGCAGTTGTAAACAGTGACACATGAAATGTCAGGCTTTCCAAGTGGTTCTGTTCTTGCCCTGGGAACACAAAGGAAGATATGCCGGGGAAGGCGGAAGTGGAGAGGAGGCCGCAGGACGCGGGGAGGGGCCAGACGGCTGGGTGTCAGGGCACGCGTCGCTGCAGGCCGGGAGTCTCGGGACCTTGACAGGACAGGCGGTCCTTCTCTCTTCTCTTTTTTGGTGGTGCTGGGCATTGAAGCTGTGGGATGCTGAGCTATATTACCAGCTCTTTTTAAGATTTTTATTTTGCCAGGTGTGGTGGCACACACTTGTAATCCCAGCACTCAGGAGGCTGAGGCAGGAGGATCTTGTAAGTTCGAGACCACCCTGGGCTACAAAGTGAGCTCAAGACCAGCCTGAGCTGCACAGTGAGACCCTGTCTCAAAAAGACCAAAAAAAAAAAATTTATTTTGAGATCAGGTCCTCCAAAAGTTGCCCAGCTGTGCAGAGTCCTCCTGCCTCAGCTTCCCAGAATGCTGGCTAGAAGGAGTGCGCCATGACACCAGGCTGTGGGAACATTTTCTGAGGGCAGAAGCATGGGTTTCTAGGCTCCAGTCTGCCTGGCGTGCCGTCCCATGGCTCAAAGAGCACGTGTGCATGAGGCCTGTGGAGCATGTGGGGCACGCACACCCCGATGCTCCTATGCACCCCTCTGTGCCCGTGCAGAGCCTGAGCTCACAGTGCAGGGTTTGCAGGGAAAACTGCGCTGTCTCCCGTGCTTCCTCTGTGCAGCAGTTCACAGAAACAAGCACAAGTACTTTCCTTACGTTGAACGCGCCAGCCCTGCCTGCCCTGTGGACGGCTCGAGGGGAGCTGGCCGCTCTGCCTTCCGAACGCGGGCTCTGATCAGAGCCCCGAGCTGTTTCTGGGGACGAGAGTGTTAGCCTTTGCGTGCCGAGCGTCTTGACTTCTGGGAGGGTCACGGGTCGCACCTGCAGTCGGGCTCCAAAGATCTCTGCTCTCTCTTTCAGAGTGACACGGCCGGCGAGGGCACCGAGAGGTGGCTGGTGGAGGACGCCGGCAGACGCCCCTGCATGTTTCCCTCCCAAGGCTGCCTGCGGTTTCCCCAGCTCCTTACCAGCTCTGCCGCCTGCCGGACCAGGAGCCCGGAGCCCGGATCGACAGCTGCCCTCCTCCTGTGCCCGTGCTGTGGCACTGAGTTTCGCTTTGATTTTGTACCTGAGTTGCCCAAGTGATTTTGGAGCAGGCCGGGTGTTTCCTGGCCTTCCCCAGCCGGTGGCCGGCGTCTTCGTTTCTCCCCACACCTGCCCTGCAGAGCAGAGCCCCCCACTGCATGCTCGGAGCCCCTGCCCCATCCCAGCGGTGACACCCGGTGTTTGCTGGCTTAGGCTCCGTGCCACCGTCCTACCTCAGTTCAGGGAAGCCCAGGTGTGGGTGGGGCTGCAGCCTCCTGAGCGACCACACGGGGCCGTGTGTGTCCGGTGGCCTCGGTGATCTGCCCATGACATGGGCACGGCCTGCACCCGGGGACCTGCAACACTGGCTTCACAGAGCGCTGCAGGCCTGAGAGCGCTCCACAGGGGCACCTGGGATTGGACTTGCAGCCGATTCACAGAGCCCTCGGCGTCAGTGTCACGTCAGCCCAGCACGCTGCTCCCCGGAGGGCGGGGCCCAGGGCGGGGCTCGGGGGCCTCGGAGCCCTCCCCGTCACGGGCTTCGCTCTCTGGGCAGCCCTGTGCGTTCCGCCAGGCGCGGAAGCCGCTGGCTGCCCGCTCGCCGTCTCTGCTGTCCTGCCCGAGGACTGGCCTTTCCTTAACCAAAAATTCACGTGGGCAGCAGGTGAGTCCAGGCCGCTCTGGTTTGTCAGATTCTGTGTTTAAAATGTACTACGATCTTTAAACATGACGGTCTGACGTTGGCCACCAAGCCTGTCTTGAATCGAGGGAGAAAGCATTCCAGCGCCCGTGCTGGCTGTGGCCGGAGCTGAGGGAGAGCAGTCCCACGGGGCACGCCCCTCGGCTGAGAAACCTCGGCGAGACCACCCTCGTTTTCCGTTTTCAGTGTTCCGAAATGCCAGTGTCGTTGCGATGACCACAGCTGTCCCCTGCCCCCACGGCTCCCTGACGCGTGGCTGGACCCCCGCCCCCAGTGCCTGTCTCCCCGATAGTCCTGTAGAGGCCACACCAATTCTTGGAGATGTGACTTGTTGGTTCGTTTTTTTTCTGTTGTTACTTTTTGTTTTGGAGAAAAAATATATATATATAAATATAAATATAAATATATAGATCTATATCGCTATAGAATAATGCATTAAAAATGAGGCTCTGTCGAGGAAGACCAAAAATTTCAATGTCTTAAAAATATATTCAATGGCAATGCAAAAGTCTTCCTGCTTCTGTGCTGAGCTCTTTAGAACCGAGGATTGTATTGCAAGACAAAGTTGAATGTAAAGTGACCCTGACCATTCTCAAGGTTTTGCTTTTCTGGAGCTACGCATCCCCGCCGTGCAGAGTTAGTCTGAAGGTCCCCTCCCATATGTGATACGTTTTACTAAGATGTACAGAGTGTCCTGAAGTTTTCCTTAGTGAGGGGCCCGGGGGTCGGAGGGTGGTGGTGCTGCGTGACTGCCGGCACCGTGGGGCGGGGGAGGCATCCACGGCCTCCTCCAGTTTGCCTGCCCCTGAGCACGACCCCACCCCACCCCACCCCATCGGTTCGGGTCCCTCCCACAGCCTAAATGAGCAGAGTTGAGAGTGTGGTGATGTACTAAACTTTCCTCTATCCTGTACATTTCAAAAAAAGGCATATGCAATATTTACATTTACATTTTTAATTTAGTTTACAGAATGGAACCAAAATGTATATTATGTTTGCAAAAAAAAATTCACAATGTATATTGGGTCTTTGTACATTTTGCCTGACTTACCTTAAATTTAAACTATTTTTTGCTATATAAACTTTAACCGTTATAAACAGTGTTTTCTTTTGGGTATGTATTGTTTCTGGATCTCAAGATGTTAAATATATTTCTCGCTATTGTGTTATGACAGACACCTCCCCCACCCCCCACCCCCGCACTGTCTTCCACGCTGTACATAGGGGTCAGGAATGCGCTGGGCTAGGGTAGTGCGTTGTATTTAGTCTCTATTGATCCTGGGTACCCTCCTTAATAGCCATATGCAATAAATAAAATAAATACATTATTTATGAAATGAATCAGGCCTGGAGGATGTCTTTTCCCTATGCATTCTGAATTTAACGCAAAGCTAATATATTCTTCTGGGAGTTGGGATCCAACAAGTAAACCTTAGGCTCCTAAAAATGCTCAGATGCTTATTTGTTTGTTTGTTTGTTTATTGTGACAGAGGCTCGTTATGTGGTCCATGCTGGCCTAGAACTCGGTCCTCCTGCCTCAGCCTCCCCAGTGCTGGGATTACAGCCATACGACTCCACACCCTGCTTTTTTGGGAAGACACTGAGTTGCACCTTGGTGCACAAGTATCAGTTTAAGATACAGACTGAACTGCTGATTTTTGTTTGATGCGGACCATCTTGTGCCGAGTGCAGCATGAAGCGGCTGCTGGCGCCCTCTGAGTAGAAGTCCAAAGTGGTGGGCCTGGAGGGAGAACAGAGGCAGCCTCTCCTCCTCTCCGTGGTGTGCAGAGCGAGGAAAGGCCGGCCCGTCCGGGAGCCTGAGCCTTGAGTGCCGTGGCCGGGGGAGCCCCTTCTCAGGTCGGGGCGCCTGGAAAGGCGCCGACCCAGCAGGGGTGGCAGCCAGGTTGTCTCCGGGGTGAGGTCACTGCTGCCAGGCTTGGCTGGGGGGCAGGAGTGGCCAGGTTCTGCCCTGAAGAGTGGAGGCTCGGCCTTGGTCCCTGGAGCCCTTAGCAGAGCCTGGTGCAGACGCGCTGTGTAAGCCACGTCACCGCGGGGTCTGGGTGTCGTCCTGCCCCCGCGCCGGTCTCCCGGCCATCAAGCTGAAATCCAGATTCTCCTTCACGGGGCCGGGGCAGGAGGGTTCTCTGTCCGTCCGTCGCCCCTTCTGTTGTCCTGTTCGTCCTCTTTCGTTTGCTTATTTATTATTTATTAGCAAACGTTGGCCGCACGTGCTTCCCCGGGTCCTCCTCCCTCCGTGTCCACAGAGCCGTAGCTCTTTTTCTTACAGTGTCTCCTTTGTTTTGCTTTTCAAATTATTCATACTTCGTGTTTCTCTTCTAGGAGAGACCAGGGCATATTTGAGGTTGTGAGTCTGATTTCTGTCTCCTGACATTACGGTCTCCAGTTGCGTCCACTTTCCTGCGCGTGACCCAGCGCCACCCTTCTCTGTGGCAGAGTGGTGCTCTTCTGTGTGCAGACACCGGGTTTTCTTTATGCCCGCGCCTGCTGATGGGCACAGGCCGCTCCCCAGAGGGAGCTGGCGCGAGCCGTGCTGCTGTAAAGGCACTCGAGTCTGAATCCCCAGAACACAGTGTCTCTGACATTCAGGCAGACGCGTGGCAGGGGAACACGGGGCTGCGTTTCTAGAAACCCCGGAGGAGGTGGATCCGCAGCCGGGGACCCTGAGCCGGGCACTGGGAGTGGGAGCAGAGAGCCTGTGGCAGCTGCGTATGGAGAGCAGAGCTGGCTCTCTCCAGGAACCTGGATGCCTTCATCCTTTCTGATGCTAAGCAGCGGGGAGGAAGGGGCCATCGCTGCTGGACACAGGGCACCGGGGATGGCGCAGGTCACCTGGGCTTCTCCCTGGCTGTGGAGCTGGGTCCCCACAAAGGAGAGGAACTCGCTGGTGACTCTCAGGTTCCCAGGTCACCCCGTGCCGCGGACCAGGGCTGTGTTGTCCCCTAGAGCCGGACACAGGACACCGTAAGTCGCCGAGGCTGCGTTGACCGGGCTCCTTCCAGTAGCTGCTGCCCCGTCCAGGGCCTGCGAGGCTGCACTGCGACTCCTCCAAGCCCCTAGGTGGACCGGCTCCTTCCTGCAAAGTGCTGGGCGGGAAGGACCAGTGACGCTCGAGACCAGGGCCGTGTTGCCATGTCACCCGCTGATTGGCCTTTCCTCTGACTTTGTCTCTGGGTCCTGGGCTCTGGCTTCTACCCTGTGCCCAGTGGCTGTCACCCACCCTGGTGAGTTCAACACCACCCCACCCTGGGCTTCGACCTCCAATGTATGCCAACACTTCCTGCTGCAGTGAGGGGCCCTCTAGCGTACATCCTGCTTTTTCTCGGGTGGTGTCAGCGGCCCTGACACAGGCCACCCCCGCCCGCTACAGTGCAGGGTCCCCGCTGTGCCACATGATGTGTGGTCCCCGTGCCAGCAGCTGCCTGTGACTCGGACCTCCACTGCACAGGTCACACTGCCCCAGACAACGAGGCCTGAAAGGCCTTTCCCGAGATCAGCCACCAGTACACCCCAGAGCTGCTCTCCTGCGGCCCGGCGAACAGTGCCCCAGCCACCTGACGCTCAGCCAGCAGGAACTGGGAAGGAGAGATCGGATGTGGAGGGACCGTTTTAGGTGACGCGTGTTGACCCGCTTGTACGACTTAACGTGAATGCGTAAGGAAAGCGTGGTGTTCACAAGCAATGGAGCACTACTCGGCCATAAAGAAGGAGAAACGGGAGCCCTCTGCAGGGAAGTGGACGCAGCCCGAGACCCGATGCTGTGAAACACACTAGTACACGCTTACGTGCCGCGTGGCTGCCTCATAGGACAAACGCAAGTGTAAGAAAAGAGCAAAAGAAAAGACAATGGGCAATAGACACTAGGAGGGGGACCAAGACGGAGGGAGGGCAGGGGCGAGAAAGGAATTACGCTGCGTTCCACGCGCCCACCGGCTGCGCCCAGGAAGGCGAACACCGCCCTGCGCGTGCGGACTCAGGAGACCCGTGTCTGGTGGAGACACGGACACAGCGTTTTCCAGTACAGCGAATACAGCAGACGGGTTCACAGGAGTCGCGTTCGGAATGGATGGTGACTGTTCTAAGAAAGCCTTTGTTACAGGAAGAGGCCCTCGGCCCGAGTCCCCTCCACCCTGCCCTCGGGGTGGGTGCCGGCCCCTCCTCACGCGGTTCTTCCTGCTGGGCTCGGGGCGCAGCTCTCCCCTGCCTGGCTGCTGTAAGGACTCATGCTGGGCCGAGAGCTCAGTGTGCAGCTGTGACTCCAGGAGGGACCCATGGGGACACCGCTGGCCATGCTGGCCGCGTGGGTGGCCAGGCGGAGGGCAGGGAGAGTCCACACAGGGGCTGGGTCTGAGTCAGGTGTCACTGACAGCCACTGAAGAGCCAGAGGGCCCGAGCAGGACAAGAAGCACAAGCACGCCTTCAGGGAGTCAGCCAGAAACGGAGGCTCGCTTGGGCACTGCCAAGGTCACCTTGACCAGGCCACCTACCATTTCAGGACTTTTTGGGGTGTTTGGATAAATTCTAAGGAGGGAAATAGAGGAAGTAAGCTGGGCATGGTGGGGCACACCTGTAACCTCAGCACTCTGGGAGGCTGAGGCAGGAGGATCAAGCCCACCCTGGGCTACTTAGGAAGACCCTGTCTCAAAACAAAACAAAACAAGAAAAAGCTGGGGCTGCAGTGCAGCGCAAAGATTTTGGATTTAGTCTCCAGTGCTGCAAAAAGTGAACTGAAAAGAAAATTTAAAAAATAGGAAGCAGCTACTTTTACTTTCAACAAATCAATGGGCTTTCTACTGCTGATTCCACATGCTAGAACTTTTATGCAAGTTTTAGAAGGGTTTGCTCCTTGGCATGTAAAGTGAATTCGCCTCCACACAGATCTCCAACATTCCTTACATTTTCTGTTTGAGTGTTTAGATCACGTTACACTTAGCTTTGAGCCCTTGGGATCAAGGAAGTAACTGTGGCTCCACCTGGTCATCTTGGGCCAGAGATTCATTGCCAGATGTACCCAAGCGGACAGAAGACCGGGGCACCTCCACACCTCCACACCTCCACACCTCCACAGCGCTGTGGTGCTTCAGTGACTGCATGCCACCCCCCAAGTTTCAGATCAGAGCCAGAGCCCTGCAGGGACTTGGCAGGGCGGTCCACGCCTTCAGGGGCGAGCGTCTGCAGACCCTGCTCCCGCGAAGTGCAGGAAACAGGCCGACGTACCCGGTTCCCTAAGGTGTGCTTCCCAAACGCTGCTGGAAAGAGGGAGGAGAGTCCCGAGGAGGTGGGGGGTGGGGAGGCAGAGAGCATGGCCCTCGAGCAGGCCAGGCGGGGTCCTTGTGCGGGTGGCGGCCGGACCTGCTTCCCCAAGCCCTGCGCCCACACAGCGGGGCGCAGAGGGAGAAGGGGCGGTGGAGCCCCGCCTTCCAGCACCCCGCCCAGGAGGGAAGCCCTGCGAGGAACCTGTAAACAGCGGGGAACAAAAGCCGGTTCATTTCCAAAACACCAGGTCTCTGGCGCAAGGTGTGTGGGGCGAGGGACGGGGTGCCCAGGAAGTCCGCCCGAGGGCACAGGCTGTTCCACGTGCGAGCAGCTTCTTCCCTTTCTCCTCCGCTGCTTCCTGTGGTGACCTGCACCCTTCAGCGCAGGAAACTCCTGTGCTCACAGACCACTGACTTCGCCTGGCTGAGCCTGCGAGGCCCAAGTTCTGAAGTGAGAACAAAAGCGGCTGCTAGACCGCTGCTCAGATGAAGTGAAATCGCTTCGGTCAGTGCTTGGAAGGCCTGTAATCCCAGTATCCAGGAGGCTGAAGCAGGAGGACCGCCATGAGTTTCAGGAAGCCTGGGCTACACAGCAAGAGCCTCTCAAACCGAAAAAAAACCATTCAGTGCTGGAGCAATGAGCACCGCTAAATCCCTCCTGCCACCTCCCAGGGCCTGCGGTGTGGGTGAACGAGCAGCACCCGCTTTTCCTGAGCCCTTCGCGCCGCCGATCCACCCAGGGCGGCTCGTGGGCAGCTCCTCGCAGACCCCGGCCGCCCTGCAAGTCAGAGCCTCCCTCCTCGCTGTCGTGACACCGCGACTGCTCCCGTCTCCCTCTGAGACCCTGGGCATCTCCAACACAGGAGGGAGCACGCTACCGGGCCCAGACTCCTCGCAGCTCCGTGCAGCTGCTGGCCCTGGCCTCCCTCCCCAGCACCAGATCAGAGCAGAACAAAACCAAGACGGCTTCCCAGACCCGAAGGCCCTATCCATGTGGCCTGCAGATTCTTCCCCTGTCCGTGCTGGAGGAGACAAAATCCCCTCCCACGTCTGTCCCTGTGGCCACAG